CTGCCAGTGCACAGCCATTTACATGCAACAAGTAAACAACTCAGAGATTCATACTGCGAACCTCTGATTCTCTGGTTGATTTCCAAGGGGCATAATCAGGTTACAGAATATGTGATGCAAAGCTCCAAAAGGAAAAAAATAATTAAGAAAAGTCCTTTCCATGATAAGAGAAAAGCAGATTGTTTCTATTCATTTTATGAGTAATTCTGTTTTTGTTGGCTGGGAACTAACCTCAGAGCCCGGGTGGGATGGGAAGGGGAGCGATGACCAGGGGCTCAGTGGAGAGACGTGCTGGAACAGCAGGGAGATTGTGTCACAGGCGTGCATTGCTGCAGTCACAGAAACCCTTATGTGCCCACAGGGCGGCCAGGGCACCCAAAGTGCTGAAGGCCACCTCTCCCCCTTGCAAGGTCACTTCCGCAATAATCCCCACTCTTGGTCTGCTCCCAACAGCCCTGGGATCTGTGTATTTCCTGTCTGCCTCCAAGATCTACACATCTTTGCTTCGAACAGTCTTGAATGCCTGCTTCTCTCAATGCAAGTTCAGTCAAGCTCAGCCGTCCACTGAGTGCTTGCTGTAACTCCGGGCTCTGCCCTGAGTGCTGAGAGTTTTGAAAAGCGGTTTGCATCATCTCATTCCATTCCCAGAGATCTGTGATGACACTTGTTTCTTTCTACCTCAAGCCTCACCTCGTCTGTCTGCATCTCCCAGCACCTTCCATGAGCTGAGTCCATCCTACTAGAATCTACCCCAAAAGTCCCACCTTCTCTACTCAGATCAGAGTCTGTCTCCAGGTTTCCTCCCATTTTCTTCACATGAATTTCTGGAATTCCTGCTATTTGTAGTACAGGCACAGTGCTAAGTGGCCAATAAGAAACAGTTCTTCCATTAGAAGCTCCCCAAGTCTGCAGGCGATGACCTCATACGGTATGGTTGATCTTGCCTAAGTGTCTCTGCCGTGTGCTGGGGGGATTCAGAGAAGATAGCGACTGTTGATTGTACCAGCTGAGTTTTGGTCCAGAAGGGTCAGAGGGACGATTGAAAGAGGGTCAGTGCCAGCCCAGGGGGAGAAAAACCTGAGAGTTGGAAGCTGCAGGTTTGTAAGGCAAAAGGTTGGAAAGAGAGTCAGTGTTTCAAATAGATACTGAGAATGATATTAGGATGTAGCTGTCTCATGTTTGTTAAATGGTGGGCATCTGGCTTAACACCTGCATCAAAATATCATTCTCAGCCAATCTGCTCGCAGTCCCAGGGGACTCCCATTCTTTGTTTCTGTGTTTCTCCGTTCTTGGGCCTTTCACATAAATGGTGTCCTACACCTGCAGCCTTGGGTAACTGGCTTCTTCGGCTTAGTTTGTTTTGTTTGCAAGACAAATCTCTGTTGGGCATGCCTAAGTATCACATGCTGCTTGCCGCCTTTGCCACCTAGCATTACGTACAGTGGACATGCCATGTGGCATCTGTCCATTCCCCAGTTGGTTGATTCCAGGGCGGCTTCTGCTTGATTGCAAACTCTCGAGAGTTGAGAAGCTTGAGCTCCCTTCCAGCACCGCCGATCCCAGTTGCTCCACACACTCGTGGAGATCTTTGCGAAGAGGAAAGGGTTTCTACCTTGGACTACAATCATCTGAGGTAAACCAGATGGCTGCCAGGGCCATTCCTTGTATACAAGCACAGTATTAAAGCTTTGCTTTCCAGTTTATAGTATGATTAGAAAAGTTGCTTTGAAGTAATTCCTTCTCTTTGGAGAAAAAAAAATTATCATGCTTGTTACTATCCTTTATCAAAGGGACACAACTAACTCCAGGCTTTCTCTTTCAGAATTACCAGGGGTCCCAAATATAAGGCTTTGTTTTCCTTTAAATTCAAAGAAAAGAGCCTGGATTTTGTAGCACTTTTTATTAAAGGGAATATTCACATAGAATTTTATACTTGTTAACACGCATGAAAACAATAAAGCTATTAAAATCTGTAGGAGGAAATACCTCCAAAGCAGATTAAAGCTGAAGCATTAATGCAGCTGCAATGGAGCGGTAGGACCAGGATTAAATAAAACAGTGATCAACAGGATGACATTATGATTTTAAAAATGCATAATTATATCTACATAAACATATAAATGAAGAAGGCATAATCCATTTGCTTTTAAACAACAAGGAAGCAAAACTGCTTGTTAATGTCTGGAAGGCAGAGAGAGACGGGGGCAAGGTAAACTGTGTGTCTACTGGTTCACTCCCCAAACGTCCGCGTAGCCAAGGCTGGGCTGCCCCCGCGTGAGTGACAGGATGCGGGCACCGCAGCGGCCCTGGTGCTCCCAGGCTGTGCATTACCAGGAAGGTGAGACTCCGGAGTGACCCCAGACTCTAACCCAGGCCCCCTAAGGAGAGGTCGCACATCACACACTGACCCATGGTCAGCACCTCGTGGCCGCCACGCTCAGGCCACTGCGACAGTGGCAGCTGCGTGTCCTGCCCCGCTAACTCCAGAGGACACCCTGTTCTTGTGCTGTTCCAAAGCACAAGGAGGGAGCCACTATTGTTACTTCAAAGGAAGACATGGTGAAGGAACCAAATTTGGAATTCACTCTGTCCAGTCCAGTTTTTCCTAAAACTTGGATTTTGGCTTAGTGTTGAAAAGTCCTTGGCCTGCAGGAAGTTTGGAGTGTCCTACATCTATGTATTTTACGACATGGGAAAATTCCTTTGGAATATTCCCTCAAAAAGTGTCACAGACTGGAGTTCAAAGTGTGTGCATATGTGTGTGTCCAGTGAGGTGACCGGGGGGGTGTGCCATGTTTCATAGAGGGCAGAGGAGGAGTGGCCACGCTGCATTGGCAGGTGGCTAGGGAACTCATGCATGCTTTCATTTTGAAACAACTTCTTTATTTACTCTCAAAGGAAGGGATCGTGTAGAAGTTAAAGCTGTGTGGATCAGAGAACTCGGGCACTTCTGTGCACATTTTCTTGAACAACTAAGCCAGCAAGTAGAGCAGCAGGAAGAGTGAGGCAGAAGGACAGTTAGGTGTGGTTGCTATGGCAACCCTATGCTGATCGAAATACGGTTGAGGAGCCTTGATTCCTATGTGACTCCATATTTTCCTTCCTTAACTGACTCCTGGCCCTACTAAGAGCTGACAGGGGGCCACCAGGTAACAAGGGTAGCTGTCTTCCAGCAAGGAGGGCCAAAACAGCCCACGCACCAGGGTCGGTATCACTGCCAGAGAGAGGGCGAGCAGGAGTCGTCTGGGGGCAGGCCAGGCGTCCAGCACGGCCTGCGAACTTCCTAGAGCTCACTGCACAGCAGCAGCAGCAGAACCTGCCAGACGCCGCATCTGCCTGTGTGGAGCAGGCAGCAGCCCCGGGGTCTGACTGGGGATGAGAGAGACGCTGCTTTGCTGCAGAGCGGGAATGGGCGATACTTCTCCAACTTGTTTTCTGAACTTCCGCTTTCCCACCTGTAAGATAGGATAAAAATACCTTGCATGAATGGCCATGAGGTCCAGGGCATTCAACAAAGTTTCTCCAGCTGCTCAGTTAGCTGCGTCTGCAGCCCTTTCTGCAGGGGACAACATGGGTGGCCGTATTCACAGCAGTTACAAGGATCTTGGTTCATGTCATTGTTACCTAAAATGGGAAAAATAAGAATTCAGGGTCCTTGGCAAAGCTCTGAGAAATCCTCATAATACCTTTTATTTTCACAATAACATCATGCTAACATGACTGTCGGCGGTGTTCACTGCCACTGCTAAGCATGAGAACTACACAACTTCCTTTCATCTCTAACCCTGCATTGGTGTGAGAGCGTTGCCGATGACGGTGTTTATAAAGAAGAGTGGGGAAGGCAGGGGTTATGTCTGCGAGAAGGAGTTTTCTACTCTGTTTCTGTGAACAGGGAGTCAGAGGAAGACACTGTGGCACAGCAGGTAAGGCTGCTGCCTGGCGTATCCACGTGTACTATCAGGATGAGTCCCATCTCTGCTTCTGCTGCAGCTTCCTGCCAGAGTACCCTGGGAAGCCGCAGATGACGGCTCAAGTGCATGTCCGCCTGTGCCCCACGTGGGAGACCCAGATGGAGTTCAGAACGCCTGACTTCAAGCTGAGCCGCCTGGGTAGTGTGTGCATTTGGGGTGTGGACCAGAGCATGGAAGCTCAGTCAGTTCATCTCTTCCCCTCCTCTAGCTCTGCTTTTCAAATCCATAAGCAGAAATGACATTTTTATGGTCTTTCTTTTGGTTTCTACCTTTGTTTTTTAAGATTTTATTTACTTGAAAGGCAAAGTCACAGAAAGATGTTGACTCACTGATTTGCTCCCTAGGTGTCCACAGTGGCGTCTGCACAAGTTGTGCAGGTCCGTGGCCAGGAGTCTGGAATGTCTTCTGGGTCTCCGCTGGGGGCACAGGGGTTCAAACACTTGCACCATCTTCTGCTGCCTTTCCAGGAACATTAGCAGGGAGCCTGACCAGAAGTGGAGCAACAGAGACTCCAATCATACCCACACAGGATGCCAGCACCACAGGCAGTGGCTTACCCACTATGCCACAGCACTGACTCCATTTTTGAATGTTTAAATATAGCCTTTTAAAGATTCATTAATTGGAAAGAATTACAGGAATAGATAGAAAGATGTCTCCTATCTGCTGGTTCATTTCCCAAATAGCAGCCAGAGTTGGGCCAGACTAAAGTCAGGAGCTTCCTCTGGGTCTCCCTTGTGGGGTGGGCAGCAGGAACTCAATCATTTGAACAATCTCTTTTTTTTTTTTACTGCTATGCAAGGTCATTAGCAGGGAGGGAGAGGGCTGTTCCCATCCAGGCAAGGTGACATCAAACAGGGGCTCTGCGCCACCATCTCTGAACCCCACTTCCGTTGACATGGCCGCTGCCACATGCAGGAAGCTGAGATCCCATAAGTAACACTCTTGATAAACAGGGACCCACACCGCCGTCTTTGCCCCTCCCCTCCTCCACCCTTACCTTTATATGCTGGTTGTGCTGTTGGGCTGGCTGCATTTCTGTCCCACAGGGAGGGCATCGGAAGTCACAGGAGCCTCCCCACCTTGTAGGGGTGCCCCGAGGCTGTCTGCCTGAAGCACTGCATTTCCAGGATGGCATTTTCTCTGGAAAAAGAAATGGTGGGAGACTGTTGGAAATGCCATGTGAAGTTGGGCATTCTGCGTCCTTGCAGTCCTGTCGCTCTTGACCTGGGCGCCATGGGGCTGTTAACAGGATGCAGGTCTGTGCGGCAAGAAAACTGTACAGAACATCTGGCAGTCTGTATACAACTGTTCGCTACTTTCCAGATAGAATGTTTTTGTTTGTCTAGTTCTCAAGTTGGCATTGCTCCTGAGAGGTGACAGTGCCCGCAGTCTGGGCTTGCATGGTTCTGCTTTTGCTCACCATTTACAGAGGAAAGGATGGCATTAATGTTTCCAATGAGAAGAATCAAATTCTAAATTAAAACTAACCTGTCCTAGCAAAACAATGTGACATTGTCTATCAGTAATGCACATAAAATCTGTGTCCATTATGCTGAGTAAATTTTACCTTAAAAGATAAATATACATCAAATTATATAATGGCATCCATGTTTGGAGGTGAATTATACTAATGTCTGGTAGCTTAACTTGAAATGTGTCTAAATGATAGGTTGGACAGATGTTAAAATAATTATATGAAAAATGATAACGGAGTATAATTGGCACATGCAGAAATGTGTGGTCTTAGCATTTTGACTTCACACTTGACGTACAGCAGAGCAGGGAGGGGGACAGACTTGAACAGAAGTTGCTTTTATAATTTTGTTCATTTATTGATTCAGTTTGCAAACATTTCTTGAGTGCATAGAAACAAGTGTACATACGTTTGAACTTCAACAGCGAAGCATTTACGGTCAGCAGAGATTACTGTGAGGCCTGTGTGATGTTGGTCCCCAGGCAGGACCGGGATGCTGCGCCCGCAGCTTGGGCGCCCCTGCATCCAGCGTTTCTGCGCTTCACTAACGCGCCTGAGCCTCAGCGAGCCCGACATCTTGTCTGTATCACCAACATGTGGACAGGGCTTCCCTGTGCCACGCCCCCCAAGCATTTAAAGATGCTCTTTCCCATCTTTAAAATTATTTTGCATTTATATAGAATGAGTAGATTTCACTGTTTTTCAAAATACCAAATTTAGAAGCATTTCTTCCATTTTTCCACTCTCTCTGAATGAGTCCTCAGACTGTTTTCTAGTTCCGAGTCTTTCTTCTGCCTATCCAAATGTGTTCGTGCTTTCTCCTGCATTTTTATTTGGCATATTTATATCTTAATTTCTAATATTTCAATTTGATGTTCCTTCAGAGTTTCTATCTCTTGAGAAAAGTTTTCACTCATGTCCTGTATCAATTATAATCCCTGCATTAGCTTGTTGTTTAGGGCTAGCCTTGTCACTTTTAACAATTCTTTTTCAGGCATTTTCTCAATTCCTTCAACTTCACTCATTTTAAAACCGAGCTGTTACTTTACCTCTCTTCCTCGTTCATGTTGCATCTGCATTTAACCGTAGGCATTCCAGTAAGGACTTGGGGGGTTCCTCCTCTGAGGTTTTCATCTTTGAGCTCTCCCTCTGTGGCTTGATGCAATAACTGCCTGTGGCTATCAGGAGCGTGTGCTGGGAGTGGGCAGCGTACTGTGGTCAGAGCTGAAACGTGCCAGTCCAGGGTGACACCCAGTGGAGCATAGTGGGTCTCCTCTTTTGTTCTCACAAGGAAGGCAGTGATTAGTGTAAACACACACACCACCCCGACTCCTTCAAGGTGACTGCCACCTGAGCTTATGCTGCTGTAGCTGTGCGCCCTACTCTCACCGGCACAGTGCCAGGGGAGAGGTGGCACTTCCAGAGCTCCCACTGCACCCAAGGGTACAATCTTCCCACAGACACAGGGTGCAGAGGGTGGACTCTGCTGTGCAGCCTGCCTCGGCCATGGAAAGAGGTTTTTTCTTGCAGCAGCTCCTTAAAAGCCTCCTTTCCTGGTTGCTTACTCCTCAGATCCCTGGGTAAGCCTCTCAGTTGCCAGTGCATGCACAGTTCCCTGCCTGGCGGCTCATGTAGGAGAACAGGAGCCAGCAAAATGTCCTCTCCATGTATGGTTGAGTGTCACCTGGAGAGTCAGGTGCCTGCTGCCATTTGCATGTGCTCTGCCACCCCAGTTGGGCATGCCGTCTCAGCTGATCCCTCCACTGAGGCCTTGCTCTGAGCCCTGTGTGAGTCCAGATGGGAGGCAGAAGAGAGCGGGGCATGTGCCTCACGCCTTCCACACAACAGAGCCTGAGCTGCAGGGGCCTCACTCCCCTGCTCGGTTTGTGTCCAAGCACAGGGTCGGCTTGTGCTGCGTGGCTCCACACTCGCATAGATGCATGCCGCACCCTTCTGCCAGAGATCTGCCTCCACATGCAGGCAGGGTGCCACCAGCAGGCAGGCAGGGTGCCCGCTGTTGTGCACCATAGCATCCAGGCCATCTCCCGTGTCCTCTGCAGCAACTCCCCCGGGAGTGCACCTTGGCCACCTCTCCCATGCCATACCTTCCCAGCCCAAATCAGCTTCTTTATCCTATTCAGCTATCTTCGCTCCTTCCTTTAAAAGTCAGGTAACTCGGGAGTTCCAAGATGGCTGCAGAGGGTAAAGCCACGCTGATTCTGGCTGGGAAAGGTTAGCGAGGGAGGGGCAAACAAAATGCTTCCAGGCTAGTTACAGAGAATCCAGCAGTGGAGACTTTGTGAGAGAGCAGAGAAGGCTTGACTGCAAGGTGCTGGCAGGTACGCCACCAGCAGTGGACGGTCTCTGGCAGACAGGTGGGACAAGCTGCTGCAGCCTCAAGAGCAGTGGGTGATGTTGCCAGTCACAGAAAACCACAGGATCCATTGACCTGGTGCAAATGTGAGTCAGAACCGAGAAGTAGCTGATGGGGTGGAGTACACACCTTCCCCATCCTCTTAGCCCAAGGGAGTGTCCAGACTAGCCAGCAGAGGGCGCCACCTTGGCAGGGGGAGGGGAAAGAATCACCCAGCACAGTCCTCCCCAGCTGGGATCTTGGAACACAAGGCAGCAGCCTCGTGCTGCCCACCCCGGGTTTATGCAGACGCGTGGCTAGTTCTCTCTACAGGTCTCCACTTAACCCTAGATTGTGAAAGCATCCTGTTGACTCCGTCTAGAAGAGGTCTGTGTCACCAGACTTGGACCCCGAGCAGTGGCTGCCAACTCCTCCTGCGTCCGGGCACTCACTGGGGACTGAGGTCTGCCCGTCTGCAGAGGAGTCGGCAGCCACAGCAGAGGACTCACAGGGAGCTGCTGTGGGAAACAGCCTGCCTTCCATGGCTGACAAAGACTCACGGAGCTGAGTGGAGACTTAGCACACAGCACCGTGCAAGTCTTGGGCACAAACCCCGGATTCTGTGACTGCACGATAGGATGTAGTGTGTTGGTGGGTCTCAGAGTGGTCCTTGTGCTGGCATGAGTGGGGGCACACAGTGGCATAACCGTGAGCTTTGGTCACCTTGAAAGAGTCGGGGGGGTGGCTATGTTTGCACTGACAGGCATGACTGTCACCTCCCGTGTGAGACTGGAAGAGGAGACCACCACATCCGACCTGGGTGTCACCCTGGACTGTCACATTTCAGCGCTAACACAGTACACTGCCCACTCCCAGCACACACCTGCGGATATCCAGTGAAGGAGCAGCACTCCATCAAGCCACGGTGGCACAGTTCAAAAACATCAGAGGAAGAAACCCCCAAGTTCCCGGAAATGCCTAAGGATAAACAGAGACATGGGCAAAATACACAAGACCGCACGACTCCGACAGAGGAGCACTGAAAACGCTCCCACTGTGGGAAATGAAGAGATTGGGGGAATACCTGAAAAAAAAAAATGTTTTTAACAGTAAGGCTACTACAAAAACAAGAAGCAAAGGCCAGGGTTTAAATGAATCAATACATGATATGAGCTAACACCTTTCTTGAGAGAGAGAACGTTGAAGGAAAATGATACTGAAATATTAGACAAGATGATTTCAGAATACTAGAAAATACAGGGAAAAGCTTTAACAAAAGACCTGGGGCAGGTTAAAGGAATCTCTGAGCTAGAAGGCAAACATTTAAACACATTCAGAGAAAAATTAGTGTTCAAGACTAATAGGACGGGCCCGGCGCGGTGGCGCAAGTGGTTAAGGTCCTCGCCTTGCACGCCCGGGATCCCATATGGGCGCCGGTTCTAATCCCAGCAGCCCCGCTTCCCTTCCAGCTCCCTGCCTGTGGCCCGGGAAAGCAGTCGAGGACGGCCCAAAGCTTTGGGACCCTGCACCCACGTGGGAGACCCGGAAGAGGCTCCTGGCTTCGGATCGGCATAGTATCGGCCCGTTGCGCTCACTTGGGGAGTGAATCATCGGACGGAAGATCTTCCTCTCTGTCTCTCCTCTCTGTATATCCGCCTTTCCAATAAAAAAATAATAAAAATCTTTAAAAAAAAAAAGACTAATAGGACACTATAAATGACCTAACATTTATACTTTAGGAGTTCCTGAACATGAAAAGAGAATGGATAAGACGACTGATTTAGGACAGCGATAATGCACACTCTCCCCTCATGGGGAAAAAGGGGGTATTCAATATAGAGAATGCACAGTACCCCCAACAGGCAGGGCCACAGCATGTCAGAGACAAACTCCCCACATAAACATAAAATGAAAGATTCTAAATTATGCACAAGAGAAAAAGATTACCTTCAGTGAGTCATCAGTTAGAGCTTATAGTGGATACTCCTCAGGAATCCTGGAGGCTGAGAGAGAATGGAGAGGTACAGTCCAGGTCCTAAAAGAAATGGCAAACCCAGAATACTATACCCAATAAAGCACTCATTTATATAGGAAATGAAATGAAGATCTGCCAAAGCAAAACTAACTTGAAATTTGCAGCCACCACCCCATCCCTACAGATAATGCTTAAGCATGTGCCACACATAGAAATGGAGATTAATAACCAAAAGCCAAGAAGGTGAAGAATTTCCTAGTGAAAAGACAGAGGAAGGCCCGGGGTGGTAGCCTAGCAGCTAAAGGCCTCACCTTGCATGTGCAGGATCCCATATGGCTGCCGGTTCTAATCCTGGCAGCTCCACTTCCCATCCAGCTCCCTGCTTGTGGTGTGGGAAAGTAGTTGACGATGGCCCAAATCCTTGGGACGCTGCACCTAAGTGGGAGACCCGGAGGCGGCTTTGGGCTCCTAGCTTCAGATTGTCTAAGCTCCACCCATTGCAGCCACTTGAGGAGTGAATCATCAGAAGTAGGATCTTCCTCTTTCTCTCCTCCTCTCTGTCTGCTTCTGCAATAAAAATAAACCTTTAAAAAAAACTGCCCTGGAGGCAAATGGCCTAAATTTCCCTGAGAAGATACAAAGTAGCTGACTGCATTAAACACCACCCCCCCCGCCCCCATCCACTGGCTATCTACAAGGAACACAACAAAAAGGAATAAAACAGGCAGGTATAGTCATTTTCATATCAGACAAAATAGGTCTTCATACAAAAACTTAGAAGAGATGAATATGGCACTGTGGAATGATAAAGGGATGATGTCAACAAGAAGTGACGAAAGCTAACGTAGATGCACTCAGTGCTGGGACACCTGCCTCTTAACCCCGCCCCCCCCCCAAGTAAGAGGCAGAGTCCAATACAGTAACATGGGGGGACTGCAACATTCTACTGTTGTCAATGGACAGATGAACCAGACAGAAACTGAACCCACAACACGAGTAATCTTCACCATGTACCAAATGCACCTGATAACTACAGACCTTTTGTCCCCCAGATGCAGAATACACATCTGTTCATCCATGCATGCAGTCTCTTATACGATAGACCACATGCTAGGCCATAAAGTAAGTCTGAACAAATGCAAAAGAATTGAAATCATACCATGCATATCTTCAGACCACCAGGGAACGAAGCTGGAAAGCAACAACTCGACAAACTCCAGCGGACATGCAAACACGTGGAGACTGGAAACACACTGCCGAGTGAACAGTGGGTTACAGAAGAAATCAAAGGGGAAAGAAAAAAGTCCTATAAACAAATGAAGATGACCATTCAATATGTCAAAACTTATGGAATGCAACAAAAACAGTGTTCACAGGGAAGTTCATAGCAGTTAGTGCACAGATCAAAGAATGTGGAGATGTCAAACGATTATCAGTAAACCAAACCCCAAATTAGCAGAGGAATAATTAGAAAAAAAATTAAAACTAAAATGATAAAATCAATACACATTAGCCCAACAAATCAATAGAAAAGAGCAAAAATACCCAAATCAGTAAAATATGAGACAAAAATGAAAACAATATATAAAATTAACTACAGGTATGCAAAGACTCATCAGGAATTCTAACAAACTGCCCCATGCCAATAATGGAAAATATAGAAGGAGGACGTGTCTGAGCACTTAGTCTTCTTAAAACTGAGTTGTCCTGACATCGCAAACCCAAGTGGGACAATAATATGGCAGACGCCATCAGTAACAGACACGCCCCCAAAAAGCACAAGTCCAGGATCACGCAGCTTCACTGCTAAATTCTACAAACCTCTCAGGACAAACTAATTCCATTCCTCACAGTCTATTCAAAACAACTTAAAGCTGTTTGCTTTCCCCCCAAATTTGAGCTCATTTCCCAGCTTCCTTCTTTGAGGCGAATCTCACTTTAATTCCAAAAACAGAAAAGGATATCCCAAAGACAAAGAATAGACCAATATCCTTAATGGATATAGATGCAAAATTCTCTATAACATACTAGCTAATGAAATCCAACAATACAACAGGGAGATTATTCCCCCTCAGCTATGTAATACTTATCCCTAGTTTGCAGGGATAGTTCAAAATATCTATTATGATGATACACCTCATTGATTAGCTAAAGAACAAAAATCCTACTATCTCAAATAGACACAGACCATGCATTTTAAATGGACAGAAACTATCTACTGCACCTGAGTCATGAGAATATTGAAAACCTAAATAACCAGTAACTAGGACAGAGACGGATTTGTAACGACTCCCCCAACAAAGGCCCAGAGCTGGTTGGCTTCACCGCGGAATTCATCCAGCAAACCTCTGGAGAAGAACTAATTCCAGTTCTTCAATCTACTCAAAACAATCCTTCCCAATCCCTAGGAGGCCAGCTTCACCCTGCTTCCCACACCGGAAGATGAATATCCCTGATGAATATAAAGGCAGAAATCCTTAACAAAATGCAGGCTAATCACCCCAACAACACACCCGAAAGGTCATTCACCTGTACTAAGGGGATTGATCCTGGTATGCAGGATTGTTCACCATAATTTAGTCAATAACCGTGATATACCATGTTAACAAGCTGAAGAATTAAAATCATGATTATCTCAATAACTACAAGGAAAGTATTTGGTAAAATACAACATTATGTCATGCTAACAACCTTAAGAGTGTGAGTATAGGGCCCGGCGGCGTGGCCTAGCAGCTAAAGTTCTCACCTTGAACACGCCGGGATCCCATATGGGTGCCAGTTCTAATCCCGGCTGTCCTGCTTCCCATCCAACTCCCTGCTTGTGGCCTGGGAAAGCAGTCGAGGATGACCCAAAGCCTTGGGCCCCTGCACCCCTGTGGGAGACCTGGAAGAAGTTCCTGAATCCTGGCTTCGGATCGGCATAGCATCAGCTGTTGTGAATCATTGGATGGAAGATGTTCCTCTCTGTCTCTCCTCCTCTCTGTATATCTGACTTTCCAATAAATAAATAAATCTTTAAAAAAAAAAAAGGAGAGTGAGTATAGAAGGCTCATCCAGCTCACTTACAGCAGTATATGAATAATCCAATGCCAGCATCATATTGAATGGATAGAGGCTGGATGCATTTCCACAAAGACTCACATTCCAACCACTGCTATTCACTGTAGTCCTGGAAGACTGAGCTGAGCTGTTAAGAAATCAAATAGATATAAATTGGAAAGGAGGAATTTAAGCTATCCCTGTTACAGATAACATGATCCTTGATACAGGGGAGCCTAAGGACGAGACCACTGGAACTCAGAGTTTGACTGAGTTGCAGGATGTATAATCATACACACAGGTGTCAGTGGGCTTTGCACATGAACAATTCTGTGTCTTATAAAGAACATACAATCAGTCCCATTCATAATAACTAAAAGAGATGGGTAACTTGGAATAAATTTTACCAAGGAGGTGAGTGATCTCCATGTTGACAGTTGTTTATAACACATTAAAGAAGCAAACAAAGACACCAAAACATGATAAGAGTATACCATGCTCTTGGATTGGTAGAATTATTATCAGCAAGATGTCCATAACAACGAAAGTAACTTACAAAATCACTGCAATCCTAATCAAAATACCTGTGACATTCTTTTCAGATCTAGAAAAATGCTGAAACCCATATGGACTAGCTAAAGCTATAAAGTTGTGGTATAACAATACCAGACATCACGTTGTAAATAAAACAGCCTGGAACAAAAACAAATGTGAACATTGGTGTTAACAGTATAGAAATCTCAGAAATGAACCCACAGAGCTGCAGCCAAATCATTTTTGACAAATGAACTGAAATCAACTCAGAGAAAGGGCAGTCTTTTCAACAAATGGTGCTGGGAATACTGGATCTAAGTGCACAGGAGAAAAAGACTTATTGCACCTTATATAAAAATCAAGTATAAGTGGATCTAAAGATATCATCAGATTCTTAGAGGAAATCATCAGGAACAACACAAGCAAAGACTGCTGGGAAGATCCCAGAACACAGGCAGTGCAAACAAAAATAAGCAAACTGGAAAAGCTGCTGCATCCAGGAAGAAACCATCCAAAAAGTCAAGAGGCAGAATGGGCGAACATGTTGGCAAACTACACAACTTGTAGAGCATTAACATTTAGGATTTATAAAGGCCTCAAGAAACTCAACAGCAGAACAAATAATCCGCTTAAGAAATGCACCAAGGGGGCCCGGCGCGGTGGCGCAAGTGGTTAAAGGTCCTCGCCTTGCACGCCAGGGATCCCATATGGGCGCCGGTTCTAATCCCAGCAGCCCCGCTTCCCTTCCAGCTCCCTGCCTGTGGCCTGGGAAAGCAGTCGAGGACGGCCCAAAGCTTTGGGACCCTGCACCCACGTGGGAGACCCGGAAGAGGCTCCTGGCTTCGGATCGGCATAGTATCGGCCCGTTGCACTCACTTGGGGAGTGAATCATCGGACGGAAGATCTTCCTCTCTGTCTCTCCTCTCTGTATATCCGCCTTTCCAATGAAAAAGATAATAAAAATAAATCTTTAAAAAAAAAAAAGAAATGCACCAAGGACATGAAAGGCATTTTGCTTAGGGTTAAATTCTAATGCCTGATAGACATGAAAATGCCCAGGTTCTTCCTGAGTATCAGAGAAATGCAAACTAAACCCATGAGTTTCCACCTTCCCCCAATGAGAATGGCTATCATGGACATCAGAAGACAATAAATCCTGGTGAAAATGTGTGGAGAAAGGCACCCTACTCTAATGTTCATTTTACTGTGAACTAGTGTAACCATTATGGAAAAGAGCATGGAGACTGCGCATGTATGTTAAAATAGATCTCCCATATGACGCAGCCATCCAACTCCTGGGAATGTATCCAAATGAAATGAAATGGACATATGAGTTAGAGCAGCTCCCTCACAACACTTACCATGTAGAATCAGCCCAGTTGACCTTCAACTGATGACCAGATAAAGCAAATGTGGTACATACCTCCTGCAGAATATTACCCAGCCATAAAAATAATGAAATCTTGTCTTTTGCAACTAAATGTATGCAAATGGAACACATTTTGCTTAGTGAAATAAGCCAGTCCCCATGTTTTCTCCAGTATGTGACAGCTAATCCACAGAGCGCAAGGCAAGGTCATCTTTACCAGCGAGATTCTCATCTTAGGACTTTACTGTTTTCACCCTGTATCTAGACTCGCAAGTAATCACAGGGTTTTCCTTTTTTCCCCTTTTTCCTCTGCTCATTATGTCATGACATCTTTACCTATTAGTAGAATGTTACCTTGTGATTGTGAAATGAAAGGAAAATAGGCTATTATAATCATTCAGGGA